TCTCTCTCTCTCTCTCTCTCTCTCTCTCTCTCTCTCTCTCTCTCTCTCTGTGTGTGTGTGTGTGTGTGTATCTCTGTCTCTGTCTCTGACAGTGTGTGTGTGTAAGAGAGTGAGACAGAGAGAGACAGAGACAGATAGACAAATAGAGTCAGAGACAGAGAGACAGAGAATTTAAAAATGAGTTTAATCTCCCATATCACCAGTGATGTCCAATGATAGCTGATGTCTAATGAAAGAATATTCTAATATTTGCATAACACTGTGTCATTCTATCTTCGAAGGAAAAATTAGACATTTGTATGGCACAATAAAATCTTTATTATATATTCTGTCTCCTCAGTGAATATGATCATGATACAATGGAACAATTGGACCAGGAACTCTGACTTCATCCTACTAGGATTATTTGATCACAGCCCTCTTCATACTTTTTTCTTTTCCCTAATCCTGGGTATCTTCTTCATGGCCTTCATAGGAAATTCTATCATGGTGATTCTCATCTACCTTGATGCTCATCTCCACACTCCCATGTACATCCTTCTCAGCCAACTTTCTCTAATGGATCTTATGCTCATCTGTACTACAGTACCCCAAATGGCCTTCAATTTCCTTTCTGGCAACAAGTCCATCTCCATGTCTGGCTGTGGAATCCAGATATTCTTCTATGTATCTCTACTTGGAGCTGAGTGTTTTTTGTTGGCTGCCATGTCCTATGACCGTTATGTAGCTATTTGCTACCCACTAAGGTATCCTATTCTCATGAGTCACAAAATATGTGGGCTCATGGTTGCCTGCTCTTGGATTCTTGGCTCTCTTGATGGTATAATAGAAGTTGCAGCTGCATTGTCTTTCTCATATTGTGGTTCCAGAGAAATACCTCATTTTTTCTGTGATGTTCCTGCCTTGCTGACTCTTTCATGTAGTAATACCTTGATATTTGAAAAGATTATATTTTTCTGCTGTATAATTATGCTTACTTTACCTGTAGCAATAATTATTGCTTCCTATACTCGTGTGATTCTGGCTGTTCTTCATATGGGTTCAGCTGAGAGTCGCCATAAAGCTTTTGCCACCTGTTCCTCTCACCTCATGGTGGTGGGAATGTATTATGGTGCAGCCATGTTCATATACATGAGGCCTTCTTCTGGTCGTTCTCCCACCCAGGACAAAATAGTGTCAGCTTTCTACACTATCCTTACACCAATGTTGAATCCCCTCATTTATAGCCTCCGGAACAAAGAAGTAGCCAAAGCATTCATGAAAGTCTTCAGGATTGATAAGGCAGCAGCATGAGTTAGCTTATTTTTATGCTCTATTTTAAGTCATGCTTTAAGTACTTGGGCATAATATTTGAGGCAGAAGGAATACCATAATTTAAAATGCAGCTGGATGATTGTATTGAGGGCAAGACTTCCCTAGACTGTAGAACAAAGTCATATCTCAGAAAGCATACATTTTGTGAAAATTTATATGATGAAGCAATGCATTCCAACAACTAGTATTTCTCATCATTGTAAATATAGCAGAAAACTGTCAAAAAAGTTGGCAATTCTTACTTGTTCAAATATTAAATTTATTTTTGTGGTAAGATCAATGTAGTATTATCAGTAATAATAATTTGCCCATACAGTGCTTGCTCATATAAAATATTTGCTATTTTTCCCCAAGACCAAACTACTTTAAAAGTACACAAAATATTTGATATTTTCCCCAAGTCCAAACTACTTTAAACATACAGTTTTGCTAAAATGAAGCTACTAATTTTCTGCTAATTCTTATCTATGTGTTCAGTTGTAAGAATAAGAACAAGTGTAAGTAACAGTCAAATGACAAAAGTGATAGACAAGATTGAGGTGTAAGCAAGCCATGTATGTTATTCTGCAGAGTACTTGAGAATGAAGAGTTTTCATTTATTTTATTCTTGTGTAGGAATTCATATCCTCCACAGGAGAGTGAGGAAATAATAAAAAGTTATAGAGAAAATATTGCAATTTGTTTGCATTAATTGCCTGTCAATTAAAAAATATGTCTATAAAAAGGGTAGAATAGAAGGTAGCAAAACAAATCCTGGAAAGAGCCAGGCACTGGAGATCTGCCTGTGAAGATGATACATGTGATGGATGCATGGGACATGAGCACAGGTAACCAGAAATGTAGCAGAATATAGATTAGAATAAATGGGAATATTTATAATCAATAAAAGAAAATTCTAGCAATATTGCCAATGCATATGTAAATATATCTTGAATCTGAGACTTACTTCTGGGAGCATGGGGCTGGGTGTAACAACTATACACTATTTCTACAAGACTTCTCTGAGTATAAGTTTTATAATGGGTTTCCTTTGTTTTGTTATGTACTGCAGTCACATATTAATAATTTTGATTAATTTCTTAATTCCTGATATGAAAATTTTTAATGAAGTATATCTTTACTAAATATTAATTTTCCTTAAATGTCTTGGTATATTGTGATGGTATCCTTATAAAAATAAATGTAATTAAAATGATTCTAATACTTCTATGACAAAAAAATAATCTGCTGTCACCTAATGTGACTGCAATTATTCCACCAAAAACTGTCTGGTAGAGTCTGGATTTGCCCCAAGTAGTCTGAGGAAGCTGAAATCAAGAAATTTTTTTAAAGCTGTGGTTACATTTGCAGTCCATGGATGTCTATACCTACATAATTCTGGAAATAACTAGATGTTATGCAGTTAATGACTCCTGGGAGTTTGTATCTTTAAGGCAAGTAGATAGTAATTTTGTCTCCATGTAATGCCTTTGTCATTTAAAGCCTGAAGATTAGATAGGTCCAGACAGGATAATCTAAATTGGTTTTCAAAAACTCATTTTATTATGATTTGTATGAAATTTAGTCATGGTAAACACACTAGTAAATTTGGATCATGGGTAACATTTTAATATTCTTTTGTCCAGGGTAACATGGTATCATAGAGTCATATACAAACTGATTTTAAAAAATACAATAGCTGAAAATTTTAACTAGTGAAAATGTGATGAAATACTGTAATGTTCAAATGATTGGCTCAATTCAATCTAAAAATTCCTTAAAATATACAATGCTTTTTAAAAACAGCTTAATATGTAATTTAAAGGTTGATTATATATTTCTAATTTTTCTAGAGCTATTATATTAGTTTTAAAAATAAGCTTTAAAATTCATTTAAGTTATGACTATAATCTTACCACTGAGGGGACAAAAAGTAGGATTACCAATGAGCTTGAAATATATATATATATATGACTAGACTGTTAAAATATATTAATATATATATGTATATATATATGTGTGTGTGTAGGTGTGATTGTGGAATCCTGGGTGTGCGGCCATGCCCCCAAAACCCAGAGATCTAACATACAGCCCTTGCCAAGTCACGTAAGACACGAGACTAACAGGCCCCTGACTCAGGATTTCCCTGGCCCCGCCCCTCCCCCTTCCAGTATATAAACAAACCCCTTCTGACATTTTTTGGGAAAGCATGCCAGACACATTGCCATGTCAATAAATGTCTTCAGCTCTACGTACCTCTTGGAATCCTGGACTCATTGTGTAAGGTCAAAACCCACTTGGCGGGGTGGGAGTGGGAGAGAGAAGCTTTTTGTTCTAGCAGGCCACTGGACAATTTCTCTTGAGGGCCGTGGTTCCTGGGATGCCCCCACCCGCTGCGGGGCAGGGGGATGTGATGTTGGCCCTGCTCACTGCGCTCCAGCCAGCACCTGTGCGGCCACCTGCATGCCCCATGCTGCCCCCCCGACCCCCATGCCAGTCTTGCCCAACATCTGGCGACCAACATGAGGCACAATACCCACAACTCCAAGAATGAAGGAGTCACTTCCAATGGGACACAGCATCTAGACTCCTGTTTTCCCAGCACACACCCTGCGTACGCTCTTGCTTCTATTTTACTGCCTGTACACAGACCCTTGAAATAGAGGCCAAATCGACATGCTGGCATGTTCAGACACACAGCCATACGTCCCCACAATCTCTGCCCTGCTGTGCCCTCCCCCCGTGGCGTTTAGGGCCCAGAGCAGAGATACGGGAGTCTTATGCAAACGCCCGCTGAGATCTGATTAGTTCGTTCCTGCCCAAACACCAAGCTTTCTGCACTTGCTTCTCCACTACAGCGATCTCTGACTCCCTGAGACATCTGCTCCAGACAAGAGAAGTAGACAACTCCATGCCCGCGTGCTCCCAAGACACACGGGCCACCATCTCCCCCTGGTTAGTGGTGAACAATATACACAAAGCCAGCTCAGAAGCTCTCCCCACTAGTGCCTGTGAAAACCGTGAGTTACATCTCTGTCCACCCACCATCCACCTCCTCTCTCCTTCTCGTGTTCCCGACTAACATCTTTCCTCTAATTGTTAACTACAATCTAACTTCCACCTAATTCAAAAAAACTAAGTTTCTCTCTCCACATCCCTACAAGATGGTGGAGACTCCTTAATCTCCATTCTTTACCCCTCCCCCCAAAAATCTCCCACATTCTGCCTGCCAAAAGGTTTTCCCCTTCCCCAGAGGTCAGCCTTTTGCGCTTTGCCTGCTGGCTTCTCAAGAACAATGAAACTTCTTCCCCGAAAGCTGCTACATGCTGCCTGCTGACAGAAATTTTCCCCTCCCCCCCGACTGAGAACTGCTGACCACCTTCTTCCAAGAGCTGCTGACTCTAGGTGCTAGCCTCTAGGTGTCTTCCCCACCATGGCTCAGCTTTACATAGCCTTTTACTTCTTTGACTCTGTTATCAAACTTCTATGTTTCTTGCTTTGAACTTTTCTTCAAAGTTAGCCTTTCTTTTCTGTAAGAAAAACAAAGGGAGGAATGCCCTGGCTTCTAACAGGCCCTTCCCCCACTGATCTTAAACCCTTCACTAATAATTTTCTCCCAAACAGATATGCCTACAGCAACGTTTGTGCTTTTCAACCAAAAACTTTTGCTTTTTGTTTAAATGTCTCCTTTTCTCTCTAACACTCATGATATATTCCCAACATTTTTTTTTCAACTTTTAAAATATCTTCAAGGTTTGAAAGTCATCTAAATCTACTTCCACAGGTTAAATCAACATGCTGACCATCACCTTTTAGCTTTTAATTAACAGCTAATTTTCCTTCACAGACAAACTGTGGATGATTACCCCAGATATTATTAACACAATGTTTTCTCCTTCAGCCATCCAATTTCCTCAAACACCTTTGGCTTTCCAGGAGTGATTTCATGCTTAATATCCAGGCTTTCCAGATACCTCCTTGCCGGAGGTGCTGCTTCCCTGTGATTATATCCACAGATCCAACAGAGAAGAGCTGACGCTGAGACAACACCACCTCCTGGAACCTGCCAAGCTGCCTACATCTCGTCAGACCACAAACTACAGAGAAGAACTGATGCCGAGACAGCACCACCTCCTGGAACCTGCCAAGCTGCCTTCTCCCAGTCATCTCGTCTGATTAAAGACCCAGAGATGCTCGCTACCAGCTGCAGATGAACTCTTGCCAAAGTCACATAGCTGAAGTGACGTGTTAGTAAGGAAATCATAATGTCTATTTCGATTAATCAGATGTCATTACTCTCAAATTGTACAACATGCATTTAACTGACTCAATGACTCCTTGCTTTCCCAACCCCAATCCTCAATTCCCATTACCCTTGGCTTGATTGTGCTACACCCCCAGGTCTGTGTGGTGTTTTCTTTTATTTTCACTACAGATGACACCTCTCCTGAGAGGGAATTGTGGGTGGCAGGCTGTGAAGGCTGAAAAGCCTGGTAGCAGAACCCTAGAAGCCCCGCACTCTATTCTCTGAGGCTAGCCTCTGACACAGAAGGTGCTTCGGGGCTCTCAGGCCTTCTAGCTCTCTCAGCTTCAGCTTCCACAGTCCCTCCCACAGAGGGGCCCACAGTCATTTGTCACATGAGAATAACATCCCCACATGTGACCTCAGAGTTTTCCCCTCCTTTTATGAAAGAAAAAAGGGTGGGTGGTAGGACTGTGGAATCCTGAGAGTTTGGCCACGCCCCCAAAACCCAGAGATCTAACATATAGCCATTGCCAAGTCACGTAAGACACGATTCTAACAGGCCTCTGCCTCAGGATTTCCCTGGCCCCTCCCCTCCCCTTCCAATATATGAACAAACCCCTTCCGACATTTTTTGGGAAAGCGTGCAAGACACATCGCCATGTCAATAAATGTCTTCAGCTCTACGTGCCTCTTGGATTCCTGGACTCACTGTGTAAGGTCAAAACCCGCTTGGTGGGGCACGAGTGAGAGAGAG